GATATTGTGGCAATACACACTATTAATTTTACAACATTCAATTTTAGTGATTTAACCATTTAAAGTTATTTGAAATATAAAGTTTAAATTTAACGTCTATATTCTATTACGGCCATCTTATCCAAACAAATCCCAAAAATACAATATATATTTGTCCCTTTCTAAGCGTCTAATGAATGCTCTAAAGCAGCGGTCGGCAGCGCCCTATTAAGTGAGCATAGGGTTTTGTTCTGCCGACGCGCTGCTCGCACATGTATAACGTAGAGCAGCGGTCGGCACACACATACGTTGACGTTTTGTTTTATATTTGTGTGAGTGAATTGTACGGGGCAGCTTAACAGTGTGTGTGCGCAGACCGCTGTTCTACAGTATACGTGAGAGGCAGCGGATGAGCAGAACAATTTCCTATGCTCACTTAATAGGACGCTGCCGACGGCTGCTCTAAAGCCTAGTACTCAGTACGACGAAAACTGCTAGCTAAGCATAGGAGTAAGCGAGAGGCAAATAGGTAGCTAAAGCCTTTAGCCGGGGACTTTTTTCACCGCGGTACTCAGTTCAGCTAAGGAAATGGTAAGGAAATACCAAAAAAATACTAGATTTAGCGGATGAATTCCGATGAACGCCTTTAGCCGCGGCCCAAAGAATAAAAAATTTAATTGTTTGCTGTGTTTGTGAAGAAGCGGTGTGCCAATAAGAAATTATAAATGGTAGGAAAAGCCAAAAAGCAAATGAAAACTGCCTGTAGGAATTGCGGCGGCTCTTAGAGTGTCAAACTTATGTTTAACTGAATAAATTCGTCAATTCCTTTGGACAACATGTAAGTAAGTTATTTTCTAGCAATCTATTACTGTGTTTATACGATGCCGAATACACGCTATCATTTCACGCTTTCGGCCGATTCGTGCTTGTATAAACGCCATTTCGTGAATTCGGCAACACACGAAAGTTGACTATGATTTCAGCCCAAAAAGCGTGATTTGGTGATATGCAGTATGGTAACTCTGTAAAAAATGACTGACGTTGCCAGATCGCTAGAAATTGAAGGCCTTTTATATGCCATTTCTCTAATCAGTGGTATTAAAAATTAGATATTTTTACCGGTCCGGCATCCCTATCAGCTGAGAGTGAATAAAAGCATGAATTCTCGGCTGTCGTATTTCGCGCTTTCAAGAAATCGCGATTACTATCGTATAAACATAGTATATGTGCATTAAGGCATTTTTCCACTATGCGGTTTTTTCGGTATTTTTGTGTATTTTCGATTGGCAACGCGATAGGCGGACGTGAGGTGTTTCCATTGGCAAACGCGTCTGAAAACAGCTGTTGTGCTATTGTTATTTGCGAGCTGAAGTAAACAATGGATTTAAATAATTTGTTATTGATAATTGTAATCGCAGAACAGCATTTGAACAGCGTGGAAACATTGCTGCAATGATGAAAGCAACAACATCCCACGTTACGCTGCTTGAGCATTAATTACGGCAGAAAGCAAAAGGATCTGCTGCAGAAGGCGTTCATATATATAGATCTGAACAGTCATTTAATTAATTCTTTGACACGACCCGCGACAGCAGTAGCTTCTGCGGCGGCAGAATCTGATACGGGGCAGAAATCCTACAAGAACATTGTGCGCAAGAAAGAGGGAGATGTGCCCTTTTCCAGCAGTCGCCTGTCAACGTGTGTCATTTGAATATGGAATGGCCATCTACGGTCTAACCAGGAGGTCGCCTTAATGGACGAATGGCGCACGCGAAGCAAACGTCAAGATCATGAAGACAGGGAAGCCCATGTGGCTGCGCTGCAACGACCAATATTTCGCTTCCGATCCTTTCTAGCCGAGCCATTCCATTGGATAAACGAACTGCTACTGCTCTTTATGCGCTTGGATCATCCTCGGAATTCTGAACTATTGCCAGATCATTTGGCGTATATCATAAATCAAATACCAATCTATACGAAATAAAGTTCATGTAAATATCAACAATAAATGGTTTTAATATTTCCCGCTTCTTATCAGCCTCTTATCAGTTTCGGGTCCAGAAAAATGTTCATGCCTGGTTAATACTGCTTAAATATACCACAAATTTCACTTTCCAGCCCTGTAACGCGACAAATTTCCACCCTCCCCTCTTCACCCCTTGCCTACAAGTTTTGTATGGGATTTGGGCGCGTTAAACGGTAAATGGATGCAAACGCGACGCGTCCATAATGAGCAGAGGGCATTATACCAACTTTTTAGGGGAAAGCACAGAACTCCAGAACATGAAGAGTTCTGGTCCCATTCATGGAGAAGCACCCAGGTATGTTTAGCCAAAATGCAAACACAGCCGCTCATCAAATGATCAGCATCTTTTGAAGGAGCAAAATGAGATATTTGGATAAATAGCATCGGAGCTTCGGGTCATCAGTGCTCAACATGAGCGCCTTGCTGAAGCAGTCGTTAAAATGGGTAAACTTATGAAGGAACTGGTGGAAAAAAAAATGTAATACATTTGCTGATAACTTGCTAAAAAAAATGCATTAAATGATAAAAGCGATTTAACAGTTATGTCTATTATTTATTAAAAAGTAGATTGATAGGGTTTTCGCACTTCCATCGCGAATTCTAGATTGAAAAGAATCGTGCGATGTCCCAGTTTTGGACGAGTCGACATATAAAATCCGCATTTCGTAATCGCAAATCTAATAAGTATGTACACAAATTTAAATCTTGAGGCTTTTAACTTACTATCATAACAGTTATACTAAAATATCCTTTACGGTTTAGATACTGGTTTTCGTGTTGACTTGGCTTAATTATTTTAACATGAGTCCCATCAATGCAGCCAATAGTTCCGGGAATTCCAAACTTCGTAAAAAAAAATGCAATTTTGAAGATGAAATTCGATAGAGGACACAGATGACTTTCTAGAATTGGAATTATTTTCCACAAAGTTTTGCAAACGACTTGTCTTGAAATAGAAATATCAAAGTCCTTTCCAATGACTTTTTGAAATGAGCCGACAGTAGCTAGTTGCAATATTGGCGGAATGGAATTTTTGAGAATATCCAATCAAGTTAAAAATAAAGACGAATGCATTTTTGTCAATGCGGTGTTGTAACGAAAACTGTAAAATGACAAGTATGTATTTATGTACCACAAATATAAGCAATATACTCACGCTTCATCAGAGGTTCAAAGCGGATTAGATCTATCTCTTAGGCGGCTACGGTTTACTTTCATCATTTAAGGCTATTATACCCGTGGCAGGATTTGAGTTGCTAAAAACAACCGCTTGAAATGTCGGTGTCCCCGAAAAAATAGATGTTTAAGTTTGTTTTTTGACACACTCTTGTATGAAAAACAACATAAGGGCTACTCAGTTTCATTCGATACATTTGTTTTTCTTTTGATCAGCATTTTAAATAAAGCCGCTGAGCCATCTTCTTCAACATTAATTCGAAAAAAAGGTTAACGAAGCCTTGGACATTTATCAAAATGATGCACACCCAAAAAAAAAATCCTGAGTGTCAATTTAATAACTGTGGTTTAAAATGACACTGCCCCTAGGATCAAATTTTTGGGGTCAATTTGCCCCCAAATGAGTGTCAAAAGTATACCACGTTTTCAGAAAAATCGTATTTGATACTAAATAGTGTCATTTTGATAAAACTAGGTTCACATCGATCCCAATAATTATCATTTTTGGTTTTCGAAGTTCGAAGTTCGGCGATGTTTTACTCTAGTATCGATTTCGTTTATACTTGTCAAGAGTTCGCTCGCGCGCAAAATGGTTCGATGGCCCAGTTGGTAAGGCGTCTGCCTCTGGTGCGCGAGGTCCCCGGTTCGAAACCCAGTTAAGTCGGAGTAGTTAAAAAGTTTTTAAAATGCATATATATCATTTTAAGAACAAAAATGTTAAGTTGTGTTAGATTACTGATAAAAAAAAAAAATAATAATGGTGTTTCGAGCGGGATTCGAACCTCGTTCCCCCGAGCACAAAATAATATCAGAACCTAGCGCCTTGGCCCCTGAGCCATGCCCATATTAATTTTTGCCATGGCAGAATGGTTACAGGAGCTTTCAAGCAAATGTCAAATTTTATTTAATCCTAAGAAAATGACACCGGCTAGTGGCTCTTTGACACCAAAAAGGGTCAAATTAATATTTTCGAAAGTATTAAAGTGACACCAGAATAGGGTCAATTTAATGACGTTCGGATCAAAGATTTTTTTCCACTCAATAGTGTCACATTGACACCTAAATAGGGGCATATTGATGACTATTTTTTTTTGGGTGCAGATATTTTCAAACTCACAAACTGAACCAAATGTAAAGCATCAAATCATTTAAAAGCATCAAATTTAGATTTTAGGGAACCCGACAATTGTTATACCCTTGCAGAGGGTATTATTATTTTAGTCAGATGTTTGCAACGCAGTGAAGGAGACGTTTCCGACCACATAAAGTATATATATTCTTGATCAGCACCAATAGCCGAGTCTATCTAGCCATGTCCGTCTGTCCGTCTGTCCGTCTGTCCGTCTGTCTGTCTGTCCGTCTGTCCGTTTCTATGCGAACTAGTCTCTCAGTTTTAAAGCTATCGCGATGAAACTTTCCCGAAAGTCTTGTTTCTATTGCAGGTCGTACATATGCCGGAACGGACCACTATATCTTAAGGCTTCCATAGGAATAATCAAACAAATATAAGAAACTTTGTAAAATGTAGGCGTTTTGATTTTTGACAACTTAAAAGGCAATAATATATCTGGAATCCCTGGAGCTGCACCGATCGATTTTTACAACCATTTTGGGCACACCCAAAATAACATTTTTTTGTCAGTGTACGCAATGTTTTGACATAGCCAATACACCACCCTGTCATAGCCGATACACGCTCCTTGTATAGCGAATACATCAACTCATGTATTTTGCATGACCGTTCGACGAATATAATTGGTATCAAAATACCAAATGAAAAGTATATTTTTGAGAGCCCGACGGTATAATAAATCGCCCATTCCGCGGTCACACCGCTGACTAATAATTTCGTTTATCTAAACATCTAAACAAAGTTTAATTAAATTTTAAGGCCATGCACGGACGTGTGAAGGTGAGGACCACGGAGGAGGAGCGCGAGCGGAAGAAGAAGGAGCAGGCTCTGAAAGTGCGGGCCTATAGGGCCGCCATGGGGAGGATTCAAAAGAAACGGGAGGCCGGGGAGCTGGACAACGAAATGCTCACGCTGACGGTTCAGATCCTGCAGCGAAATCCGGATGTGAGCACCCTGTGGAACATTCGCCGCGAGTGCGTCCTGGATAAGCTGTCCAAGCTGAAGGCGGAGGAGGAGGAGCGTCCTCAAGAAGAGAAGCACAAGGACCAATCCATATTCTCCTGCGAACTGGACCTCACCGAGCAGTGCCTGATGGTCAACCCGAAGTCCTACAACGCCTGGCACCACCGCTGCTGGACCCTGGAGCAGGATCCCCGGGCGGACTGGCAGAGGGAGCTGCAGCTGTGCAACAAGTACCTCAAGTTCGACGAGCGCAACTTCCACACCTGGGACTACAGGCGCTATGTGACTGCCAAGGCCGCGGTGCCCGCCGCCCAGGAACTGGACTTTTGCACCGAGAAGATAAAGGTGAACTTCTCCAACTACTCCAGCTGGCACCATCGCAGCCTGCTGCTGCCGGAACTCTACCCCAACGAGCGGCGGGATCGGCCCATGAGCGAGGAGAAGCTGCAGCTGGAACTGGAGATGGTGCTGACGGCCGCCTTTACGGATCCCAACGACAGCAGTGCCTGGTTCTACCAGCGCTGGCTGCTCGGTAGTGGTGCCCATCTGGATCGGGCTCCCAGGATAGCTGCCTTTCGACTGGAGCCCCATGGTGCAGTGCTCGCCCTAGATAAGCCCTACCCAGATCTTAATCAACTGAAGACCGAGTTGCTCGGCGGAGGGCAGACCGTAACGTTGCAATCTTGGCTGCCGATGGACAGTTGTGGAACCAGTTGGAAGTGCCTACAGACCTTCGATTACCAAAGAAACTCAACGTACTCCCTTAAACTTTCCGAACAGGAGGTGAATCTTCTGCCTCTACCCGGCACAGAAGACGGAGCCTTTTACTTTGAGCCACCTCATGCCGACGCCAGTTGCAGCAAGGAACTCTTGGCGGAGCTGCAAACGCAGCTTCAATCCTGCCTAGATCTTCTGGAATTTGAACCAGACAGCAAGTGGACTCTGCTAACAAGTGCCCTCCTAATGCGCGCCATCGATGTTTCAGGCAATCACGAAAAGAGTTTGGCTCACTTGGTCAAGCTGGAGAAGGTGGATGCCTTGAGGGAGGGATATTACAAGGACCTGGCCGCTAGGTGGTCCTTGGAGTCTGAGCTGGCAAAGTGGCCACAAGCTCCGGGATTTCCCAGTAACTTTACATTGAGTGAGGACGTGGTGCTGGCTTCGCTGCCTTATGGACAATACCTTGTCATTGCCGATGAGTTGAAATTGCCCACCAATCTCAGGGAGAAATTGGGGGATTCAGTGCCTAAAACCTTTGGTGACTTAAAGAGGAAACAAGATTCGTAAAGATTCAGAAATTACGATTCTTTAGAACCGGGTTTCAATGGGTAAACTAATTTCCTTGCGGTGCTTACTGAACCTTTTTACAACAATTTAAAAGGATATAGCCAATCCATTAATTCAATATAGCAAGTATTCCTATTTATAAATATATTCTTTTCCGTAACCGTTACGTTTTGTATATACATATTGTAAAGTACGCTTTATGAATAAAAAAAGAGTATAATATCGAACATACAACTGAGTTACTCTTAAGTTTTTAGTGTTTTTTAGGTTTTTAGGCTTGAATTTAAAATGTAACTTCAATTTCTTCACTTCTTTAAGTTACAAATTATGGTTTGCTTGTTCTCATAAACATTTAAGTTAAGAGTCCTTCTGCAAACATGAATATGAGATTGAGCAAAATATACAACATAATATAATTTCAAAAAGCTTTTTACCAAACGGCACATACATTTTCCCTGCCTTGCTTGAAAGCGAGGCAGTCGACCAAAATTGCTGACAACCCGCAGCCATCCATTATCAAATGTTTCGGGTTATAAATGGGAAAACCATCAATACGTCGACATGCAACCACCGGCTACTTTAAGCGGTCCCCGAAGCTGCCACATTGCTGAGGCATTCTTTGACATTGCTGCTGCTGCTGCTGCCACCGATGTCGCCTTGTGTGTGCAACGAGGCGCTGCGAGATTTGCGGTTTTTTGGCGGCTCTCGTGGTTATATAAATTATGCAAGGCCCTCGAGATGGAGATGCTCTGCGCTGGGATGGCGAGGCGAGGCGCTCAATGCGCGTCCACAACATTGGCAGCCGCATGTCATTACGTGCCGCAGCTGCACAAAAGCAACTCACTAAAAGAAAATGTTTCGGGAATTGGGAAATTGTTAATTTGAAAGACAAAATTAAGCTTGCATTTCAAAGTCAATAAAATTGTATGGTCTAAAACAAGAAAGAAATTTATCTGAGAAGGTTTAAAAAGATTTATTTCACGCAATCTAAATTTAATTGGGAGCCACTTTTTAAATCACCCATGATCAATTGCATTTATTCCCTGAAAACATTGTAGATTTTTTACATCAGAAATACAAATATTAAACTTTTAAACTTGGTAATCTGACTGGGAATATAAATAAATAATAAATATAAAACCAACATTTTTATTCTGACGACGGATCTAAGACAACAAATGTACCATTTCTTAATTCTTGAAAACGTCGTTCAATCGCATTATACAAATACTAATCAAATATTAAGCGTGGTCGTTTCAAGATCAGAAGACAATTTATAATTTTAAGGTGATATTTTTGTTAGGTGCATCGAACAGCAGGATGGGGCTGAGTTGGGGGCTTAAGGACATCCAAGACGGAGGAGCGTTTGACAGGCGTGTGAAAGGCCGCCAGACGTGCCTGAAGCGGAGCTTTTGGGAGATGTCATTCCCATTTGGGTGTTAATACACGCTTGCACACCTCGGGCGGTGAGGGAGGGGCGCGGGTGCACCTGTCACTTGGCAGGCCACACCGACACACATGTCGTATGCGCAATGTTTGTGCATGGGAATTTAATGGAGGCCAGTCGGGTGGATATATCCTGCTGCATATCATATTAACATTAGCAGCGCCTTGGCATTCAAATTTCCGCTTCACTCAGCCGACACCACATCCGATGCTTTACCCCCTGGCTGCAGCCCCTGTGCCAACATAATCTTAATTATGCCAATGCCGTTTCTTGCAAATATTTTGCGTTGACTCTCCGGCTCCGTTCCGGAAAACGTGACGCTGACAAGATGCCGCTCATTAAAATGTTTGGGGCCAATTATTAAGTCAATTGCACGAGCCAGGACCAGGGGCGCAGGGGGAGTGGCACGTGGGAGGGGGCGGCAGCTGCAACTGCATCTTATCTGAACGCACAGGGACGCAAACTTAATTAATGGGACAAGTCAATGAGAAAGGTCAGGAAACAAGGCGGCGGAAGAGGAGCGAGCAGATAGATGCACGTCAAGATGAAATCTTGTGGCTGTCCTAATTTATGGGTTGCGGTTGATTACTGGGAATTACTTACTACTTATTTTTTGGATTATTAAACACCTTTAGAGGGGATATAAAAATATAAAAAATTATATTTTTTTTGTTTTCTTCATAAATTAGAAGAATAACTCTAAATGTGTCATAAAAGTTTCTAAGTCATCCTAGCACAATCCCTTATTGGTTACAAATAATATTGATTTTAGTAAAAAAATCGAACAACTTTCTGCTGTTCTATAAGTACATTAGGGCGGTCCAAAATATGAAATGGGAAAACTAACTTTCGGAACTTAGACCTTGGGAAACATTCTCGAAGTTTGCTAAAAAATTACTCATACGACTCGTACAACAGACCGAATTTGGTCGAAAAAATCGTTCTCCCGTTTCTAGTCCTGTGAAACTATGAATTTTGTTTGAAATAAACTTTTTGATCGAAGGCAAACTTTGAAACTAATTCGCAGATCCTAAAACGTTTTCTTTTTATAGGTTTTTTTGGTTTACCTTAAGTTTCTAAATGCGCGGCTGAGAGTAGGACCTTAAAAATTTCCATACAAATGTGGACCTCACTAATGTACATATTTCCCCCCTGAAATGTGGTTGCTCAACATGTTAAAACTTCACAACGAGAAAAATCTAATTTAACATATTTTAACCGTTTTCAATTTTGTCCCAATTATAGCGGTTTTAATAAAATAAATTGTCATTGATTTTTATTTGGGTTTCTTATGGCTGTTTTTAAAAATGAGGATATTGCTGAACTGTAAATAACAACTTTGTTTCTTGTAAATGTGTTCTTTATCCGACTAAGTTGTCGAGAAAGGGAAATGCATTTCTTCCAATTATATTTACGTAGCCCCGACAAATTCCTTTTGTTCTTTGGGAAAATAACTTTCGCAGGAACATTTTAAGCACACACACAAATATTACGCTTTAAATAAACCGACAACAACAGAAGGTGATTTCGATCTAAATGCTGGTTTTTTGGCAAAATATAAATACTTTATTGATGAGAGCACGAAATCCCTTTAGTTCTGCCCAAAAATTGCAATTTTGAGGTCACAGATAGTAAATCAAAATCAGGCACTTAGCAGCACTTGCTACATATATTACTTGTGCATCTACCAGGGTATTTCAGGCTCCGGCGCTCCTAATAACACGTTCTCGGCCAACAGAAATTGACTCGAAATTTGTATTTGTTTACGAAATTTCATTCTTTGCCCTGCGTAACTAGATTTGGCAAACTTGCCACATATCTTCGGGCATGTCATGTGAGGCGACCCAGCGCTCATAATTTATATGCCTTTCCATGGCAACTAGTGGTGTTTTCCTCTCCTGGTTTCGCTCTTAAATTATGCTTATATATTGCCTGAATTTCCTGCACTTTTCCCCGTCGCTCCTCCGACTAGGCAAACTGAAACCTTTAGTCCAGACAATGCACACAATACACATGTTTCAATGGTAGACAGTTTTTAGACGTGATAATGCAAGTGGAAAATCAGAAAAATATATTGTGACTGCCTCGGCAGTCGGGAGCAGTAGACATCGCAGTAGGGAAAACAAAGCAGCCCAATGTGAGGAGAAGAACGCCACAAATACTAAAAAGACGGTAAGAAATCGGAAAAAAGAAATATAAAATAGAATACTGCTTTTATAAAAATATGATTATTAATATACTGCAGGGACAATGTTTTTGTAGGCGCAATGTTATATCCTAATTCGTGGAAACGCGGTTATATTGTTGTTTTAGTGTAGACTTCGGGTCCCTGGCCAACCCATAACCATATGCATGATAATAACTTTCGTTCTGGCGGCTCTCCTCATTGGAAAGGATGGGATACTATACATATAAGAGGCGCACGGAATGATTTCTGTCTGCAGCTGTCACATAATGTTAACTTGAAGGATCTGTCTCGGCAGTCCCGCATGCATGGAAAACTCATTACGAGCAGCTGCAGCTGCGGTCACCCGAGTTTTCCATCCAATTTTCCCACCAGTGCTTCCCGGCCGAGCACTTGATCCTTAAATAAGTTGCGGAAAATTGGCTTGCCGTCGGCCAATTGAATACCCGCATCGATTGGGTTTAGACGCCTCCGCCTGCACTTTTAATTGCATAACACATAGTTTCACGCTTCTTGCTTACACTTCACTTCACAGCCGAACAACTTGGCAGGCGAAAGTTCGCTTTAACAAGTGAACAACTTTCAATGGGCAATTAAAAGGGCATACAAACCGGGGACAACAACAGTCGCTGGGTGGAAGGCGGTGAATGAGGGTGAAGTGAGGGGGTCGAACCAGGACGTCACCAGCGAAAAGTCACCGGAAATGTTAACAAAATGCATAGCAGCACAGATTCTGCTAAAGTTTTCGGCCCGAAAGGCAATTAAAGTTTTGGCACCGACACAACAGAAAAACAAACTGTGCACAGACCAAATTATTTTTGTTTTTCGATTATAAGTAGATTTTACAGAATTAGGTGATGAATAATATTTTGTGTTCCAAATATTTATGTATTTTGTGTTACTTTAGCACGACATTTTAGAACATCTGCTTATCAAGGTATTCGAATATTTATCTATTAGAATAAATATTTACTATTTTATTACAAATACAACTTTTCATGTTCAAAAAAAAAATATTATAAAATGTTCTTAAGTTTTTAGTATTAAAAAAAATTAATTCAATTTTGTCCTGTGTCGAGTAGATGGTAAAATGCCACCGCAGGATGGTGACTTTTAGATCCTTGGCTTCTGTTCCGCCGGTTGACGCAGCTCCGGCCATAAATGTTAGCCTGAAAATATACCAAGATCTGGCGATAGCGGATCCGCAGTTAAATTTGATTAATTTACAACACAAGGCTCTGGAAAGGAAGCACCCTAAATTATTCGAAACTTCAATAAACATTATGGGTTGCGGTCCTAACTCAAATAACTTATTAAAATTTACGCTCAATTCAACCAATACATGGCGCCATCAAAGTCTGAAAGCAATGACGTCACCACACACGCCCACCCAGAAGGCAGAAGGGCGGGGCTTGTATAAATTGCATATTTATGCACTATAAACATTAATTTACTTGCCATTTAGCTAGACGCGCAGTTAATTGAAAACAACAATATCAGAGGCAGTGCAGCAGAAGCAGCGGCAACATCAAATGCCCACTTCCCCCCACTTCTTCTATTCCCCCTCCCCCTTGCCATAATGCAACAACGGCAGCCAAAGCAAACAACTTTAAATTATGCAAAGAATAGGAAAATGCAGCGTACAAAAATTGCAGCCATCATTAAATTTGCGCAGGCTGCGGGGAAAATAGTGAGAAAAAAACGAAATGCAAAGGGGTTTTAAGCAGGGAAGTAATGCCAAATTTAATTGCAATTAATGTGCAGTAAAGCGGAAGTGCCATAGAAACGGGGCAACGCGTCCATTGCTGAACGGGCTGGCACTTCCGGTTGGCGCCATGTTGGAGCATGCTCCCGTCGAACAGGGAAGGGGCTAAGGGGGCTTAGGGGGCTAAGGGTGCAGAGTGGGTAAACCCGATATTCGCGGTAGCTCAAAAATGTAAGCTAGAATGCTCTACTCGTTTTAGCCCCAGGGATTAAACTAATTGGGTTTGCCCGCAAAAGTTCAGTGTGGGTTTTTCAGCACGTGTGTATTAAATGCTTTTTTATATTTCTCCAAGCTCGATCTATTGTACATATTTGAAAGAGAAGACTGCCTTTGGCTAAAGATTTCTAGGGGAAAAGAAAAATAACTTTATCTGAAAGCTAACCATGATCATCAGCATTCAGCACTCTGACTTACTCAGCGCTCAAAAGGGTTAACGAAGCTACTTAATTGACTGAGAACTCGTCATTCATAAGGCAAATGTAATGCAATCGATAGTGGACAATATCGATGTTTTTGGCTATCGATGGGGGTCACTATGCAAACTATCAATACTATCGGAAATTAAAGAAAATAAAAAACCAATTTCATATATAAAGGAAAGTTATAAAAAATAATAATAATAATTTAATAATAACTTCTATATACTGCGATTAACAAATACAGTCGAGATCTAAAATATATACTTTAAAATACCTTAATCAAAGAGCAGGAGATCCCAGTATTCCCGTATACCCGAGACCAGAAATACCCCAATCGGCCTGGGCCTAGGCGGAAACGGATGCACAGAGTAAGAAATCAAGTTTAAAGCGTCCCGCTCCCGTTTTGCAACATCGCTCTGACCGCGTGACATCCAAATACGGAGGGAAATCGGGAGTACATGTTACATGCTACCTGGTTGCATTCACCTGGCGCCGTCGCGAAATTCAATTACTCGTGCACCATAAACCGATTAACTTATATAAATATTTATATCGCTGAAATGCAGTCGGTCGCCAATGGCTTTATGGGTCGCAGCTCGCCGGTTCGATGGGCGGTCCCGGTGGACGGGGGGCGGTGGGCGTGGCCTATCTGTGGGAGTGTCCCTGCATATGCAAACAGTTTTCCAGCGAGGAGTCGGGGTCGTTGGTCATTCAGAGAAATGGAGCTGCGGCGGCAATAATTTCATTTGCATTTGCATTTGTTGCCGTTTATGGTCCACTCAAGTGATGTCAGTTGGCCGGATCCCCCCTTTCGATCTGCCCCCGCGGTTCACTTTCCAAGTGTTTAATGATAACACGCTAGGTGTCATCCGCAGGCAAGTGCTCTTGAAGCCAGGACATAACTGAACAGAACAGAAACAGCAGTCGACGCAGCCCGGAAGGCCTATCATTACAATGCCGGCGTGTGCAGTTCAGTAGTGCATGGCTACGGCTACATGGGGAGAAAAAGCCGCAAAAAGTCGGTTTTAATAGCTAAATATTTCGAGATCCCCTGCTATTATTAATCACCTAAATCTCTTTAATGCAGTGGTGACCAGCTAAAGCAGAGCAGCTGAGAATGTTAAGGGGCTATGCAGGATATCCTTCTCAAGAGCCAAGTTTTTCCCTGTGCACTTTTAAGGTTGTAGGTGGCTGTGGCCAGCGGCAACTACTTGTCTCCATAAATAGTTGCTAAACAGCAATGGGCCCGTGTAAGTGGCTGATGAGAGTGTGCCCCAAAGGCTGCATCCTCATCCCCAGGCGCCGCACAATGATGGGATGGCAATGGCAATGGCAATGGCAAGGGGGAGGACAGTGCCAGTCAAGGGTTAATCTCGAGTTAAGTGATGCACTCGACCTCAACTGGTGTCTGATTAATTGAGTTACGCATAGCGCATAACTGTTCAAGGCGAACTTCGAGGGACCAGAGGCTTCGGTTTATTTGGGGTCGATTGTGGGGGTCTGTGGCCTATGATGTGTGCCATGCGGTGTGAATTAAGCGCATGACTTATGGACGCACTTAGGCATTCCTTGCATGTCTAATGGGCATTTGGTTAACATCGATGATGCACAAGTCTATTTAACAATTATGGCCACTAATCTGTCTGAAAGGGATTCCTGTAATAAGGAAACAACCTTCACGTTTGAGTTCTGTATAAAAACTGATTTTATTTTTCTAAGTCTTCGCTTACGTAACTAACATGAAAATCTTATGATATACTTATCTATGGTCTACGCAGAGACCACATCTGTTTGCCTGAGCGGGAACCTTATCAACGGCCTCCCGCAAGGCGACCCTTTGTACAGTGTGAGAACTATATTTATGGTCAGGCTCAAGTGGCCTGTACTTAAGATTACAAGTGTTAGCACTGCACCCTTGTAGGGTTTGAGTTACAGATCGTTATTTACGGCTCTACATCAATTTACATATTGACATGTACTGAACTCGTAAAATATTAGATTTATTATAAAAAGTGTTCTTCTTGAACACTGTCCACGAAGGATTGACTGGTAGTGATATTAAGCTGGCTAGATTAATTGATTCGCCTACAGTAAGATACGAATAATCAGGAATACCTTGGTGCTTAAGTCGTGTACAATTCACCCCGTCTAACTGATGCGATAACTTAACAAGTTAACCTGAGGAGCATTCAATGTCAAGTTTGTGGTTTTCTACACTCATAGAAATTTTTACCCTAAATCGCCCTAAAAAACTGACTTTTCGCCCGTGGATTTAGAAAATCGCCCATAAATCGTATCCGCTGGCGATTCGCCCGTGTATTTAGAAAAATTTTCTAAAAAATCCCGATGAAAATTTGGTTTAATTTAGGGTAATTTTTCTTGAAATAAGAAATATTTTCCTGTTTTTAGGGTGATTTGCCCTAATTTTAAGGTGTATTTTTCTAAAATTAAGGGCGAATTTTCTGCTTTTATAGGCGAATGCCCTAAAAAATTAGACAAATTAAAAAAAATCGTGTTTGAGCATGCTTAACTGAATTTGGAAAGCATGTTTTTTTTTTAATCGTCTATATTCTGGGAACTGGGACTGCTTTAATTAAACAACACCGGCGGAGGACACCGTTTCATATTATTGTATTGGTGTGTAGCTTATATGGGAGCCGCGTTAAGAGGGGGGCCCGATCTATACAGCACAGCCGTTAGAACTGAAAAATCATGTTTGTAAATGAATTAGGGAAATAAATATGAGGAGAAAAAACAACTTACTTTTTTTGGTCATTGCGAGAATCGAACCCACGACCTCTCGGTTTAGAGTCTAACGTCCTACCGCTGCACCACAGACCCATCGCGCAAGACGACGAACAAACTTTGCACACATCTTATTTTCTTGAGGTCTACGTTATAATATGACTAAAGGCAACTAAACCGTATTTTTTTTTCCTGACGACTGTGACAATTAGTCCCGTTTTCTTGCCCGCAAACACAAAGTATGCTTTTAACTCAGAACTCCCATACGTTTTTAAGGTTTAAAGACTACTTTAATTTAAAATTCGGACGAAAAAATGTCCTCAGTATTATAATGTTTACAAAAAAAAAAAAAAAAAACATAAAAATCAAGTTGAATCCCACAGGGTTCGAACCCACAACCCCACGACCTTAGTCCTCATATAGCAAAGTTGAAAGCGAAAGTGATTAGACCGCTGGGCTACCGAATTTCACACTTTTGGAGTGATTTTTAAGGCAAATCGCCCTTGTATTTAGAAAAATTTTAGAAAAAATATTAGGGCAATTCGCCGTTGGATTTAGAAAAGGTCAAAACGAAGCAAATCGAAAAAAATCGCCCTAAATATTAGAAAAATAGAAAAATTAACCCTAAAAATATTTTTGTATGGTCACCTGCCTTAAATTTATGGCAAATTTGTCGTAAAAATAGAAAATTTTTCTCAGTTCAAAGGCGAAAAATTTTTTAGGGCGATTTTCTAAAATGTAGAAAATTATTTTTATGAGTGTACAGATGCAATCTTCTTGAACGGGAAATAAACAAAAATATGCGTTGAAGGAAAAAGCCGACACTTCATACCGCTTAAATTTCTTAATGCCACATTTTAAAAATTCAATTACATTCACGTCGTACAAATATTCATCGATAAATTATTCAGCGCAATTCAGGATGCGTCAGGTTAACCCAACCGAATTTCAGAACATCATGAAAAATTCAATTCATCAGCTTTGTATATTTAACTTCTCACAACATGCACAAATTGAGTAAGCAATTCCGTCACCACCCTGACACGACGTTTGTATTTGGGGCCGTTCGTCACATCAACTCCGTATATTGAGGTGTTGGTGCCCGAATTCCCAGCTACAGGCCCCAATTGCGTCCGTATCTCGCCTGCAAATCTAGCAGTAGTCGCTGCACCCGCTCCCTGCACTCGTAGAGGCGTCTCTGCCTGTCCAACTGCAGAGTCACCAGGCGGCGCTGAAGGAGCGTCAGCTGCTGCCGAATCCTCACGTGATCCGTCTGTAGGCGCCGCACCATCGCCCGAACATCCCCACTCCGACCCACCTCCGCCGAATCGACGTCTCCGTGCCCATCCTCATCCTCGTCGAAATCCAGTTCCATATCTATGATGGCAACGGCTGTTGAATGCGCATTCATTGTGCAACGGCTGCCAGTTAAGCTGGTACACAGGAAAAATAAACAGGGAATTAACTAAGTAAGTGCATTCTCATATAAATGAATTTGAAAACTATTGGCTTGAAAAAGTAATAACGAAAACAAGAAAGAACGCTATAGTCGAAAACTTCGACTATCAGATTTAATGAAATAATCATCAAAGATAGTATATATAAATGTTAAAAAGTGATTTCTAACCATATTGATATTTTTATTTATGACCCAAGAGCAAAAACTTTTTGTTTGCATTGTTTTTTTTATAAATGTTAATGTTTAAAAAACTCCTAAAACTATTCTAAGTATGGGGTTTAAAAGATAAAGAGTGTATCTTTTAAAAAACTTTAACATCAAAACAAACCATGAATCCGTTTGCCTGAGATATTTCTGGAAATTTGGCCAATTTCAGCATTTTTCGAACTTTAAGGTTCTTGTGCTAAGAATCATTGCGTCGGGAAATTTTTCGGAAAACGTAGGAAAACTTGGTAATTCGGAACGAATTTAACAATATTGCATCCATCGAGGTAAACTTAAAAAGCATTAATTTTATTGCACATTGCTATAAACTATAACTACAATAATTATTATGAATGTCTGGAACTAACCATAACTCAGAACAAGATAAATATAAATATTGTGGCCTTCCAGATGAAAATATTAATTAAACTGTTCAAATTTTAAGTTCTAAAAAATTGGAGAATGAAGTAACTTCCTTTTATTCTAATCTCTTATTTTCCAGTGTGCCGATCTGCTGGCGACAGAAGCGGAAACTTGGAATAATTTATGCGTGCCAACTGGGTGGCAAACTTCCATCTAATCGCTTAATTCCGTGCTGTAAAAACTTTGGGCCCAGTATCCAACATTTCATGTTGGAAACCCATACGCAAAGGATTTGCGCGGCTAGTGAGTGCAACTTTTTTCTAGTTGATTGACTAAAAAATTGAACATTTTCTCCGTATTTGGTTAAGACGTTCTATATTTTTTTCCCCAGCTAATGCCCTCGATTGGTTGTGAGCAATACTCAGTGATGCGTTGGTAAAATTTGCAAATCGGTTGGCCTAGTGGAAAAGCGGGAAATGTGGGAAAAGGGGGTGATGCTCCAGCTACTTGAGGTGGCCCAGACCGAAATTGCTTTTCCGCTCTCTGGGTCAGCGAAGCAGAAAAATGTCTGCCCTGCTGACGCTGCCAGAGAGTTCGCTGTTCGATTTCGCACTATCGATTGATTTGGTATTCATTGGGTTTCGCTCGCTTGCCACAACTTTAAACGCTACATGTCGCCGCAACTTAGTGCCTCTGTTTCCTTTGTCCAAATTGCGCTGCACCCGGTCGACCCAGTTGCATTTTGGGTTCTTTTTTGGAACAAACGCAGCTCTGTCTGATTCGTGAATTGAAAGCACACAGCACACAGGGAAAATTGAGGGAGTTTCGGGAAACAGACTACAAGTTTGCCTGTTAGAAAAGGGAAACCCTTTGACCCTTTGAAATCGGGTGATAAAAATTTAAGTAAAATATTTAAATACTAAAGATCCGCCTTACAATTTAGAATTACAAAGCAAAACGCGGTTCAGTAATGAAAAATTTAAATATCGACGATTTGGCACAGTGTCCTCTGCATGGCAAAGCAATTTGCTGCAACTCCGCCATGACTGCGATGCTAATGATCGAGCCATCTCATCTCGAGACAAGGCCAAAGGCTTTTGTCAAAAGAATGTCAACTGGGCGGGCATTCTGGTGGAAATTGCAGCAGTTTTCACTTTTCCTTTAGCTCGGCTCACCAGACTGCAAAGCAGGCCAACGGAGGCGACATCTAATGCACAGAGAACGCCTCAGTTGCGGTGTTGTGGCTGCCAGCCGTGCGTATGCGTAATATTCGAGAAATGTCTCTCATTTCCATCTAACCGAAATGTTCGACAAGCTGTCTATTTGCTGGGTAGTGTGTGTGTGTGTGCGTGTGTGGGCTTCAGTGTTTGTTTTCTATTTGTGGCACTGGCACTTGGGGCTATTCCTGGATATTACGCAAACGACATGTTGCCGCGGCGAAAGAAAAGCCCAATTTTTAAGTCGGCCCAGCTTAGCGGGGATTGCTCTGATGATGATTGCTGGAAACAAAGTGGATTCGAGTTTTTGCTTAGTGCTTACCTCTAATCTTTGACTTCTGAGATGGAAGAAAACGGAGTTTCCGAGCAAGTTAAAACGAAAAGCAGTGGAGTACTGTAAAAACAGCGCCTGCTGCGCATCCTGACAGGCTAATTGAAAAACTATGCCACTAAGTGTAAGCCCTCCCATTGCCATTTCCATTTCTATCTCTATCGCTGGCTGTCTCTGGATCGCTGTTGATATTCTGCTAGCCGGAATTGGCAACTTAATTATTTCAACGGCACGTCGCCAGCGACTGGCGCTTAAGCCAAGCCTGCCGACAGCTGCAGAAGCGTAAAACAGACGGAAAAATAGAAAAATAGAGAAGGAATAAGAAAAGCTGCGATATAAACAACGCTTGCAGCGTGCAACGTCAGTGGGGGCAAAAAAGTGAACAACAGCTGCTATTGAGAATCTGTGCTGAAAGATAAAGTTGCCTAGCAAAAGGATTTAACTGCACAACTGGCGAAAGAAACAGTTCGAGAAAAACCGAGCGACGACTCCATATCTGTGTGTGTGACCCCATTAGCACCAGCCGACTCCTGCCACGCCCACTTACTTTCCGCCTCCTCGCATGGCGCTATACTATGCCCCGCCAAAAGTCGAAAAAAGAGTCTCACTTGCGGCTTTATTCATGGACCTGATTCATTAGTAGACATTCACATGCGAGCATTCCCATTTACTCGCAGCGCAGCTCCCCTTTGAAATATGTTGCCAGTTTCGAAAGAATACTTTTGAAAACGCATTGTTTCAGGTCGAGTTATAATTATAGTTTTTTTTCATTTACTTTATTTCATTAAGGCATACAGAAAAGCATCAGAATTGTACCCAAGAGAAAAAAATACGTTAGGAGGCTATAATTATTATTTAAAAAAAATAAAATCGTACATGAATTTCAAGCGCGGTCTAGTCTTAACTATTTGCAAAAAAGTAAATACATTCTCTAATTTGTAGGAACCAATTTTCAGAACACACCTGATTGTATTTGTCGAGTGTTTCATTTTCCTCGAGCAATATCTGCGCTCGCTCTTTTCCAATGACTTTGGCAACTTTGACAGGGCAAAAGTAATTAATTTTCGGCAGCTAACTAAAAACGGCGAAGGGAGCAAGAAAAAGTGCAAAAAAGGCAACTGAGGCGGCACAATTAACGCCTGCAACTTTAATTGCGTTTTAATGTGCATCAGGCCGCAGAGCGGCTGCCTGTTTGGATGTTCCTCGGTGGGCGGATGGGCGGTTGGGTGGCTAAGTGTACGGCTCGAACCCGAACGGGATGGGTGGTTCAACGTGCTCTGTCAACCGCAGGCGGTGGCTCAAAAGCGTAACAAGCATTTGGCCGCGCCTCAGCAACACGGCCGTCGTCCTGGCTCACACACTCACAAAGGAGCGGAGACAAACGCACACGTGAATTCGTCCTGCGACTATGGCCCATGGACTATGGGACTACGGGAAGCTCCTGTGTGTGTGGTCGGGCCTGTGCCTGAGTGCCTGCCTCAAAAGCGGCTTAACAAACACACACGGACCCACATGTAGCCACAAAACAGCATACACTCGGAGGAGGAACTGCAGTCCTAGAAGCTCATTTCGCTTTAAGTTGTAGAAATTCTTATTCCTCGATCCTTTACATTTGTCGATATTTGTACTTTATCAATACTGCATTGCATCTGTACAAATTAATGGAAGATTTAAAAAAAAAAGTAAGTTAAATAATCCTTATAATGTGCTATTCTATTTATTATTAATAAAAATTAATTGAATAATGAACGTGTTTATCAATTTGAAGTTCCTACATTAATATGACCAGTGAGTGCTTGCAAGGATAATTCTGAGTTTTATTAATTTTAGTTCAAAAAATATAACCAAGTTAAAAATAATTTTATTTATTCGTTTTCCAACAAAGTGGAAGTAAGATCAAGAGTGAGTCTCTGAGATAAAATATTTAAAAGTTTAAATGAACGTTATTCCTTAAAGGTTTTAGTAATTTTGCGTATCTCATTGTTTTATTCCACATTTTTAGGGGACCATGACCTTTTTTATGTCCAAATTATTTAAAGCGTAGAAATCCGAATACAAAAGGTTAAAAAGCGAACCTTATTGTCTATCTTAAATACTTGAAGTTATAATAAGCATGATTACATATTCGGGAGAGCCACGGAAATCGCGCGGCGCTAAAGTGGCATTAAATTTATATTGATGCACATAAGAAACCCAGCTCCATTTGACGCTGCGCTTTTTGTGTGGCAACCTAGATTGTTTCAAAATTATATTTATATACAGGGGTGGTCAAAAGTATTTTCACAAATGTAAATGTTAACTGTACTTATATTTTGAACTAATAATATAAACTTTTGGCACCTATAGAAAGAGCACTTCAATTCCGTTTAAATGACACAAAAATGTTCTTAACCCATTAAGACCCCTTTGAAAAGTGAGCAAATTTTGCGAAAGTCAAATTTTCAACTTTTTTCCTGGGTCTTAAAACAAAAATGCTTTGATGCAAAGTTGTTCCCCAATCAAAATTATTAATAACTGCAAAAAAAAAAAGATTTCAAAATATTTTTCCTTGTATTTTTTATGATTTTTTGAATGGAGACATCTCAGTAAAATTTTGTATGAAAAGGAAGAAAAAGTGGCTAAATTTTAAATTCTATTTTCAAAAAATCATAAAAAATACAAGGAAAAATATTTTGAAATTTTGTTTTTTGCAGTTATTATTAATTTTGATTGGGGAACAACTTTTGTTTTAAGCCCCAGGGAAAAAGTTGAAAATTTTATTTTCAAAAAAAATTGTCTAATTTGCTTACTTTTCAAAGGGTGCTTAATGGGTTAAGAACATTTTTTTGTCATTTAAACGGAATTGAAGTGCTCTTTTCATAGGTGCCAAAATGTTTATATTATAAGTTCAAAATATGAGTACAGTTAACATTCAAATTTGAGAAAATACTTTTGACTAGGGTTGTATTTTTCTGCATCACTTTTTTAATAAATGGATGATTGTACAACTCATGTGAAGATTATTCCTCAGTGCAGCGTCCGTGCCTCGAATCCGAGTCCGGACATGGTAGCGGACCGGGACCCAAAAACCGTGCGCCTCCGTCTGGGCCAACTATTTACATGGCACCCATTATGTCCGGACTTGTAGCTGCGTCTTTTGTGTTCTCGCCGGCATCGTTTGCCTCTTCCTATCGCTCGCCCTAAGTGACGTGATTTAAATTTGTATGCCCTTTGAAATTTTCGCCGCCCCGCTTATCGCCGCGTGGAGGCTGCCATCTCTGCCCCATCTGGATCTCCGCCTCGGAGTCCGCTTCCACGGATCTGCTTCCGGCGTGCAGGGGACAAATCACGTAATCTGGCCTTAGTGGGTCAAGCAGCAGAAGCGGCAGTAAACTGTGAACCGTAGCCGTAATGTAGCAGCCCGCACGAGGAGACACAAAGATACTTGGACGCGGGGGACAAGTACAAGTAAATAGACATAAAGATACACGACATGAAAACCACTGTCAACATGGAGTCAGACGTTGGTTATGTCAAGTGTGGTGCGACTTGCCGACTAGCACAATCCGGAGCACTTCAAATAAGTCAAGAGCCCCGACCTAAAAATACTCTCTAATATAAATCGGCTTAAAAAGGGGCAAACTATAGGTACCCAGGTCATCTGTGCTCAAATAACATTGCACTTCTCATTGAAAAATCAGATGTGTTAGGAATTGTACAGAAATTAAAGCTAAGACTTACAACCTTTTGTTAACAGTCATGGCACCATACATTTTAATAGAGCTTTCACATAAGTGCCCACTTAACTTAATTCCATGCCAATCAATTTCATTAATAGTGCACAGTACTTCTCTATAGAGCACATCAAATTACTTATTTCATTCCCCATTATACCGGTTGCAGAAATGACTTCTTCAAAGGTTAAATTCGCTGAGAAGACACTGCTTCTTCAATAGAAATAATTCCCCGGGTTGTCATTCTTTCACCTCGTTATGTTTCGGTGAAAAGCCGGTCACAAAAGCAAGTGATTTTTCTGTGCGGTTGTAACATGTGATGTTATTTGTGTTATTTGTGTAGTTGTGGCTTTTCGCAGACTTTGAAGTGCATAGTTGTGGTTTGCTTTGCCAACAAAAAAAGGTTGTCAAATAACCCCATAAATAACATGTCATTATGGTCAATTAAATAATGAGTTATCTTCAGCGTAAATTTAGCTAAATATTTAAGGAAGTCTTGCTTTAGTATTTTTAAGGATGGGGATTTTACGATAATACTTCCCGATATTGGTTAAGTACCCGTATAAGAACTCCATACTACTCTACCGTCCATATGTAACCCTTATGCCGGCATAACTTACCACGGTCAAGGGCTGTCCCCCGAGGCATCCATTAAACGCGTAGTTACTTAAATCGAGTTCCTCTTAAATGATTAATCCCTTCGGTTTCCGGCAGGTCAAACATCATCATCGCCCTTAAGTAACTGTCGTCACGTCCGCTTGAGGCCCGTACAAACCGGACAAACCGAGCAGACCAACAAACCAGGTGAGAGCAAACACCGACGAGGGCCCCTTCTTCTCGAGGGCCACTGAGCAAGGTGAGGACAGGTGCAAAGTGCCGGGGACGACTGATTGAACTCCGAGGACAGAGACATCGCCTCTTCACGGAGACGCGGCCTCGCCAAGGACGCGTCTTCGGCGGCGACTTCAAACTGAAGTGCTTAAAATTGTTCGCCATTATCAGCGGCTGTCAATAAGCGCATTAAAACATTTTTGCAATTCGCGAGCTCGTTGACGGCTGACGGCGATGACATGCGGCTGTCAGGCAGCCGTGGAGAGCGGAAAACTGCAAGCGCAGAGCTGCTGCACTAACGAGTCCCATTGATTTTCCCCCGCCGGAAGAGCTGCGGCACGCAGAAGAATACAGCAACCAGAAACGGGCGATGTGCGCACGATGCGTATGAGTAATGGGAAAATTCTTAATGGGCGAAGAAAATTGGTTGGGCATAAACAATGAGATTCCTGCGACCGGAGAGAATGATAATGAGTTCGCTGAGTACGGACCACCGGAAAGTGGGAGGAAGGAAAGCAACGTGGGCGTAGGTTTGCCA